AATTAGAGATCTCGACGGATCCGTCCCCTGCCGGCTTCAGCTTGGAATCTGTATAATATATATATATATATATATATATATTATATTATATATAGGTATACATAAGCTACACACACGTATAGTATATATCTCGCTAGTGTATGTGTATGTATGTATATATATATAATATACGTATTCAACTATGTGACATAACATATATGTCTATTTAATTTTCCAGCTGCTCCGGCCAAGGATCCGAAGGGAAGATCTCGACAAGCAGGGCTCAGACAAACGGAGACTTGTCTGTCTACAAGTCTCCGTATATATATTGTTGTACATATTCTAGGACCATGCCTGTGCACTAACAAATATATATAATCTAGGCAACCTAAACATGTACATGACCCAGCGGTCTGAGCCCATGCTTGTAACTGCAGAAGCACACATGTCTGCTCCACACTCAGCACCGGAAACCCGCATTATGCCAAAGCCCAGATCAATAAAACTACATTAACATCTCCATGTATTCGATATATATATATATATATATATACAAAATATATTTCCCCGAAGACACAACTCCCCTGAAATCGCTGAAACATATTATAACACTGAAACCTCATCCCATCCACTGCTTCCGGCCTCGGCAAAAGGAAGGCCGCAGCTGGCGGGCACCGACCATGAATTACGAATTATTGGGAGCTCAGGCTTCTGTCATATATATATGGCTATGCATGCAGTCTACGTCGTCTGTATGCACACGTGTTTGTTTGATACGGGCCTCGGTGCAGTCTGGAGTGCGAGACATCTGGGGAATTCTGGCCAGTTCCTAATTTGAAAAACATATTCCTTGAATAATCGTGACTGCACTATATATATCTAGGATCATGGTCTTCCTAATTGTACATGTATGCCTGCATGCTCCTGGGCGGCGAAGCGGCGGGTGGTTGGAGACTTCCAAGCCTGTGCATTAATGCAAGGATTCGATATATATATATATATATATCTATATATCTCTAAAAATCGGTATCTATTTATACATATATATATAATATGTATATATGTATATATATGTAGAATGATACATATGTATATATATATATATAAAGTAAATATAAAAATATATATTTATATATATGTATACATATTTGTTTTCGTTGTTGATGCTGCTTGGTGGCTTCTGTGTCGGACAAATCCCTATATATATACATATATATACATATATATATATATATATATATACATTATATACATATCTGATACACATAGCAAAACCCGTGCAAGAATCTATAAATCAATGTTTTCTCAATTCAACCAACGTGTCGGAATTTAATATTTTTTCAAAAAATCAATGAAGTCAAGCAAGCTCGCTATAAATGGCATCTTACCATGCATGTGTAATTAGAGGAAAGCATGCCATAGGCTAAAGTATATGAAATCCTAGGACTTTCATACATCACACACATGCTCCGTCCGGAACCACAAAAAACAAGGCCTTGCGTTGTTGTGCTTACCAAACCAGCACTTTGGTCATATTTGAGGTCTTCGGATGCTTAGGGAATGTGCATTGAATCCTCAGGTCCCGCCGGATGACTTCGCCGCGGACAACTCAGCTCTCGCACAGACATAGTGACATGAAGAAGTCAATGCACCAACCAGGTCGCTGTGAACCGCGAGCTCGACAGGATCTACGACCGTCTCTACCCGGAGGAGATCTCGCGGCAACATACTGAAAGTAAGTTGTGTCCTGAAGTCATCCTGTCCGAGGAGCGGGAGGTCGTATCCTACGTCCAGTGGGGAGATCGGCGCTACACATTCACATGCTGTCCGGGCGATGGCTCGGAGAGTTTGCGCAATGTGGTCGCGAGAACGACCGGGCTCCGCCTGCGTCCAAGCAAGAAAGAGAACATTCACGGCCACACCCAGTTCGTACACCACAATCTTTCCCCTCTCACCGTACTGTGGCAAGGCTTCTCGTGCGACCTCTTCGAGCCATGAACTTACTAGCTCGAAAGCCTCAGTTACCGCTTCCCCACGTAAGCGTCACATACACTGCCCCCGAACTCAGGATCGCATCAGGCCGAAGGCTACATCCGTTCTACACGGAGTTGACGAGCCTGCAACTCTCGCCCGTGCACGGGATCCGATTGGCGAGAACCTTGGCAAAACATTTGGGCGAGGTAGCTCGCCGCATAAACGTACCAGCATGTCCATCACAGGTGCATTATGCCCATGAGATCTCCTGAGAGCCGCTGCCGACGCTGCAAGCGATGCGCGCGGCCAGCTCGAAAACAAGCGACTCAGCAAACCAGGACGACATGGCAGAATGAGAGAGAAAGAGAGACAGAGAGAGAGAGAGAGAGAGAGAGAGAGAGAGAGAGTGTGTTAAAGAAGAAAACGAGAACCACGAACCCGCGGAAATGAACGAAGCTCAGAAGTTCCAACAGTTCCAACACTCACGCACGGAGTCAGAATAGCATGCCCTTCTCCTTCACCACCCCTGGGTAGGGAACAGCTCCAGGGCCTCTCGAACGAGAGGTCAAATGGACAGAGCCACTTGCATGCCTGGAGCCAAGCCCTTTAAGCTCTGAGCGTCAGGAGGGAAGGAAAGGAACTCAGAAGTGAATCTCGGGTTATTGCCAGGTTGATGCAGACAGGGCCGAACTGGAATCACAAGCTAAGGAATGACACCAATTCTAAGTACGGAAAGCTGAACATAACAGTGGAATGAGGCCATGCGCTGCAAAGTGCAGACGTGCAACCGACGTGACTCACCACAAGTGACAGCCTCATCTTGTAAGGCCCTGCCCTAGCCATGCCTGCTCTAACATCCACCAGTCGCACTCTCCAGCTACATTTTAACGACCGCAGTGTATGCAAAGGTTGCCGCGCACCATTGCGTAAGGAAGTAAAACCAGTTCGGACCGACGAGGGTAGGGTTTCCTTGGACAAGCCATTTGCCGATCGGCCAAAGCCGCGTCCAAGCTTCGAACATGCCACTTACAGGCAGCCACGAGAAGCTTGCAAAAACCCAAAACCCAAAACAGCTGCGATGCACGACCTCTAGGTTATAAGAAGTGCCATGACAATAGCTCACGGTCAGACACACCATCGTGTATGCATGCAACGCTTCCTAAAGGACCTCTGACTTTCCAATTGCTGAGCACAAATATGAAGGTAAAGCAAGCCATGTCGACGAAGATCAGGGCCGCACCGACTGCAAAGCAAAGGCCCAACTAGCAGTTCCAGACCGCAGACGGGTCTTCGGCCTCAACCGATACAGGAGCACCTTGCAAATCTCCTTCGTCGATGGAGAAACAAGGACACTAGAGGCTCGAAATGCACGTCAGGGAAGAGTACCATAAGTACACAAAACACCAAGAGTACAGATCAGGTGCACGGCAACACCCACATCAACACGGTGGCGAAGGGCGTCGCTGCCACAAAGTGGGATCCGAGCCAGGGTCTGAAGCGCAACACAGCGCAAACCGCAGTCCTGCAACGACCCTCTCAGGCGCACTGTACAAAATCATCAGTGGCGACCGCCTCCTGCGGGGAGACGAGCGATGCTCGTCCCTACGGCAAGGAGTCACCTTGGTGAGACTGCCGCCGTGGGGCACCCAGTTGCAGTCCTTGAAACGTACATGGCAGCAACCCCAAACACCTGCAAGGCGGATCATTGTGGACAAGCACGTGAACCACGAACAGGAGGAAGAGGAGTCCTTGTCCCGGTCTTAGCTCTCCTTCACCTCCCAGTCGTTACTGAACCCTTCGCAGCTCGCCAGCCAGGTCGTCCGGCTTTTACACGAGCGTGGAAGGGGACCGAGATGTCTTTGTCGAAGACGACTAGCTGACATAGCTCCGTCCGACGTAAAAAGAAACACCAGACTCAGGCATGCGAGCAAGAGCAACCCTAGAAAGCAAACACTTCTGACGGCCAGCAACAACAACGTGATCCATCTGGGTACGGAACAGTGTTGGCGCCTCAATCCGACGAGGTCCGGTGAACAGGGTCACCTCGAAGTCCAACACCAAGCCGTTTAAGCCCTGAGCGTCAGGCCGCGCAACACACGTCACCACAGACACAACACATCATCCACAGCAACGAGGCAACCATGCAGCTAGCCAAACGAGCAACCAACCAAATCAATATACAGACTCGAGACAAAGTACCACAGAAGCGTCGCCTACGAAAGCAAGGAAACCGACGCGAGACCAAACCGTCAGTGAACGAGCACAACTCAGGCAGGCAAACAAGCATCATCCAGCAACCCGCCACCCACACAGACACCCAACCACGCAACAACCAGTCGGCAAGCCGCCTACCCACCAAGCCAGCAACCGAACAACCAAGCCACGGAGACACTGCAACCGGACTACCCATATTGGGAAAGCTCACGCGTGGCAAGCGTGCCCTCAACTGCAAGTTGCTGATCAACTTTCCTGTGGGCTTGCATACGGCCAAAGGTTCAGCGTCAACCAGATCGGGCTGATGCCCCAAACCCTAAACTCTAAACCCTAAACTCTAAACATCTCTAAACCCTAAACCCTAAACCCTACAGTAACCTCGAAACCCTAAACTCTAAACCCTTTTTAATCCGGTTGTTTCGTGGGAGCCTCAGGGAGGCAGCGACAACCCTAAACGGGAGCACCCTAATGAAGCTCAAGTCCTGGCAAGTGGAGCCCGAAAGAGTCAGCAGGTACTCAAGCTTTCGATGTTGAATATAGGGGGCCTCAATAATTACCTATACTATTTTGAGGGGTTCCTTATTGTAGTTATAGTATAAAGGGCCCCAAAACCCTGTTCTAATTATTAAGGTCCCTATATTACCCCAGTAGGCATACTGGGAAACCGTTTGTTTTCATCAGACGTTACGTCCTGATCCGCAAACCCAAAACCCTACAGCCAAAAGCCCTACGTAACCGTTTCAACCAAAAACCCAAAGCCGAAAAGCCCTAGCCATACCGTCGTAAGAGAATCCCGAAACCCAAAAGCTCTAATCATCTTATCAAGCACCCAGGATTTTCAGACGCGGCTGCAGCCGGTGCGCCCTCTGCCTGCTTCTTGAGAGCCGCCTACGACTGGCGAGCGCAGTTACTGGGACTCGCAGTAGTCACGCTTTGTTTTTGGTTTAGGGTTTCGGGTTTGGTTCTTTTACTTAGGTTTAGGGTTTAGGATAACGTTCCTTTGCTTAGGTTCAGGGTTTAGGGTTTTGTTGCTTCACTTAGATTTAGGGCTTATAATATAGGGTTAGTTTCTTTACTCGAGTTTAGGGTTTAGGGGGGGGTCCTGTACTTAAGGGTTCCTGTACGGCTTCTGACAAACCAATCTTTCAAGGCTGTAAGGGTTCCTCTAAACGTCTAGGTCTGCGTTTGTCCGGGTTCCGGGTTTAGGCTACTTTGGTGTCGACTGTAGGAATCCGTAGGGGTTCTACGGTTTGGACTTTGGGCAGGTTCACTAGTTCATGTAGCGTAGGGTTTTGGGATATATGAGGAACCCTCAGGAGCAATAGAGTTTAGGATGGTTTAACGTTTAACGGTTTTGGGATGGGGGGGTTTCGGGTTTGAGACTTAAGCTTTACAATGGTTTAGGGTTTCGGGGTTTGTTAAGGGCTTAGGTTTTTGCCCAGAGGGCTGACTCTCCCACAAAGGATCACAGATCCAGCAAAAGCCCTTAAACCCCCAAACCCTAAACCCCCGACCCCGACCCCAAAGCCCTTAACCCTAAACCCTACCTCAATGACGAAATGAACCCTAAAAGAGTTTAAGGTTCATATACCATATAGGGATTCATAGTATATGGGTATAGGGCCCCTACTTTTAAGGGTCATTTCGTCCTTAAGGTAGCTAACCCTGAGGGCCCCCGCAATCTGTGAGTCGAGGTTGGAATGCTGCATTTCGGGCTGTGACGCAGTCTCTGCACCTTGTCCGTCCAGGGCATGCTTAGGGTACTCATGGTTTTCTTAGTAGCTGAGTTTATAAACTTTAAACTTTTTCGGATAATGAAACCCTCTTAAAACTGAAAGTTTAAACTTTTTTGGGCTTATAAACTCGGCAACTAAGTTTTAGGGATTATCAAAGGGGAAAAGGAGGGACCCCTAATGGGACCCCTACCCTGTAATGGGCTAAGGGCTATATATAATGGGATATAATAGCTATATTAAGGGTATATACCTAGGGGTCCTTATTAAGGGTCCCTCCTTTTCCCCTTTGAGGATTAAGTGTCCAAGTGCCCAAGGCTCGCGGGTGAGTTTGGGATTTCACTACAGTAACCACAAAGTTGGAAACCGGGTTAAGGCCAAATAGTGCTGGGATTCTCTTTCCATTGCTCTAAAGGGATTGAAGCTAGTGGATTTCCAGCTTTTGGGCTTCTACTGTGTCTCGACTGTCTCGAATCACGCGCACTAGCTTTAGAGCTCTACATCTCTTGGGATGGAGTCCGGTCTCCCGTACTGGGAGGGCAAGTGAGTTGGCGGGAAGGTGTCCGGATTCCGGCGTTGCAACGTTGGGAAACAGTGTGCCAAAACTCCTCAGACAACGCTTCTTACTAAACCCCTAAACCTTAAAGCCTATAGACCCTAAACCGTAAACCCCTAAACCCTAAACCACTAAGCCACTAAACCCTAAACCCCTAAACCCCTGAATCCCTAAACCACTAAACCTAAAACCACTAAACCCTAAACCACTAAACCTAAACCCTAAACCACTAAACCACCCTAAACCGTGTAAACCCTGGGACAAGTCCAAGCTCGGGAGGATCTTAGCCTGGAGGCCTGGGGAGAGTATGAGGACGCAAGGGCTTAGGGCAGGGTTTTTGGGGTTTAGGATTTAGGGTTTAGGAGTTCAAGGTTTAGGGCAGGGTTTAGGGCTTGGGGGTTTAGGAGTTTAGGCGGTTTACGCGGTTTAGGGTTCATGGTTTAGCGTTCAGGGTTTAGGAGTTTAGGTGGTCTGGGTTTAGGAATTTTGGGTTTGGGGTTTCTGACACAGTATATAGTGGTTCTGGAGGCATCTAGCAAGGTGTTTATAACAGTTTGGAGTTTGAGGGTTTAGGGTTCAGGTTGAGGACGTGTACAGTAAGGGTTTTCGCAGACTCTTCTGAATTTCGATGTCTTTCGTTCAGAGTTCCGAGGTTGGGGGTGTCGGAGCTTGTGGGTCTACAGGTCCTAGGTATAGAGGTTTGGGATTTAGGGCTTTGGTGGGCCGGGTGCAGGAAAGCGCACTAGCATCTCGCGCGGGACGGCTTATGAGTGCCGTTCTCAAGGTGGCTGGATTCTGCTCGGCACCCTTCCCTACACCCTCAACTTACAACCCAAGACCCTATAAGACCCCGAAGCTTTAAGGCCTAAGCCCCAAACTGTAAGATTCTCAACCTAAACTCTTAGCCCCGTAAAGCCCCAAGCCCTGAAACCCTAAATCCCTAAACCCTAAACCCAAAACCCCTACACCCTAGATCCCTACACCCTATGCCCTGAAACCCTAAACATCGAGAGGACCTGCCCCATGCTGTTCGGGCTTCCAACCGGTGGCAGGGCGGCTTCAGTGCCCTAATGCAGGCTCTTTTGGGCTCAAAGTGTTTGGGAGAAAAGGTTTGGGATAATATGGACCTAAATAAGTACCAATACTATTTTGGGGGATTCCTTATTATAGGTGTGCATATATATATGTATATATATATATATATATATACACATATTATAGCATAATATACCCTCTAAAGTTAAGCCTATTCCAATCCTTAAGGCCCCTATATATAGGGTTTCGGGTTCAGAGGTAGAGTTCTACAGTGTCCGGGGTTGGGGTTTCGGAATTCGGTTTTAAAGGGTCAGGATTTTCGGGCTAAGGACTTCGAAGATCCGAGCCGGTCCTGCATTTCCCGGTCTTGGGAAGTTCGGGGAACTTGAAGGATCAGGGAACTTAGTAAGGTAGGTTATAAGCACCTTAATTGGGGTTATACATAATTATCAGTATAACCCTAGTTACTAAGTCCCATGATCCTACAAGCATGATGCTTTGCTGTCCTAGGATTCGCAAGATTTAGGGTTTAGGTGTACAGGGTGTAGGGGTTTAGTATTAAGGGTGAAGGGGAGCTGTAAGGGTTAATGTAGGTACCAAAATGAGAAAACCCTGGGCCTATGACCCCAAAATAGCAGGATTCATATAAAAAAAACCCAATGAAGTCTCGAGGTGTCTTAATCAGGTTCCTATATTAGGGATTCTCTGCATTCAAGCAGTGATCCGGTTGTGCCCGACCCCCGCCCTCACACTAAACCCTAGTAGTAGAGTAGGTAACCTTTAACCTTTTTAGGGTAGTATTGTCCCTATCTAACCCCTATAACTATAACCAAGAAGGTTAACCTTTAGTTCCCCATGATGAAGATAAACCGTAATCCCTAGACCCTACACCCTAAACCCTAAACCCTACACCCCTACACCCTAAACCCCTAAACCCTACACCCTAAAGCCTAAACCCTAAACCCTATACCCTGCACCAAAGAAGCTCCAAACGCTGCGGCCATCTCCGATGTCAGCTAAGCCTGGAGCCTTCGAGCCTTTTCGCTGCGAATCACCGAAAAACTTCCTGGACCCTGAAAAGGTTTAGGGTTTAGGGGGTTTAGGGTTTAGCCCTTCTCTTTAGATACTGAACAGGGGAACTTTAAACTTTTTTGGCCTTACATGTTAGCTCTATCGATCTTTTTGGGGTCCCGGTTGTTGAAGGAAGAGAGTTGTAGGGGCTTTCGTAGTTACCTATGCTATTTTGGGGGGCTACTATTATATTGTAGTTCTAGTACTATATCCCCCCAAAACCCTGTTGTAATTATTAATAAATTAGGGCCCCTACATTAAGCCCCAAGCACTACATGATCTGCTTGGGTTGCAGAGGCAGCTTTACAAGATCTCTTGGACGCGCCCAGCTCTGAAGGCGAGGGGGGGGGGGCGGCGGTGTAGACACCGAGTAAATCGAGCGGTTGCCTGAGTAGGGTCTCTACTCTGATCAGGACATCAAGTTCCGTCCCTTTCAGGAAGGGGCTTTGTGAGATCCGGTGTTTGCATCAAGTCCTCTACGGCCAGGAACTCCATATTACTTTGTCAAAGTTGAGTAGCATCTTTCCATTTCTCTGGGTACTTAACTAAATAAGGCTGTTTAAAGTTCAGGGCTTTAAGATCTTCGCAGGGCTTGCTAAAAGCGTAAATGTTTGAGGGCTACCCTAAGAGCTTTAGGGTTTGCCCATAGGACCCAAAGTAGTTCCTTTTTGTGTGTCATATATAGAATCCTATAAGGTAATCCTAACAAGGAATTACTATGGGGCCTATGGGTATAGGGTGTATAAAGGCTTGTTTTGAAGGATCCTGAACCCTTCAACCACAAAGCCCGAACTTGCAGCTCAAGCATCTTCTTAGATACTGAACAGGGGAACTTTAAATTTTTTGGCCCAGTATATTAGCTCTATCTTACAAAGTTTGAACTTTTGAGGGCCCGGTTGTTGAAGAAGAGAGTCTTTTCAGGTGATCTAGGAGGAATCGCGTTCTGCACGGTCCCTTTGTGGGGCCGATCAACATGAAGTCTCCTTGCGTAGGCATACCATACTTGAAGGGTCGCGGGACGTGGTAAGTACGTAACTACAATTTTCCGCCAAGCTGAGGTTTTAGTACCCAAAAAGTTCAAAAGGGATTCTACTTGGGGTTATGGCGCTTGCACTTACAGTATCAGTCTATAAATCAACTACTTAGTGAGTCCCCCGACCCTCCAAGTAAATGCTTTGATGTCCTGGTCACTTGGCATTCTGAGAAGCTCTCTGGCTGCTAGTGGCTCTGCCACGAGCTCGGGGCATCGTCGGATTTATCCGAACTGGGGCTTGTGCTAAGACTAGACATGTCTGACTACTTGCGGCGATTTTAGATTTAAGTGTAGCCCGATTTGTATCTACGTACTGCCTACAGCCTTACGATTTTCCGGCTGGGCAGGGCTTTTCAGGTTAGGGCAGCGAACAATCAGAAGTACTGTTTCCTAGGGTACATACCGTAGTAGAGGGCGTCTGAATACCCTCTGATAGTCCCATGCCTATGTACACAGTCTCTTAGTGAGAATATGCAGTCCTCTACATTAATTAGGATCTCGGCCCGTTTAGGCGTTAACCCAGCTCTTGAAGATGAGGACTCAGGGCTCGTGGTTGGGGATCGTTGGGGTTTAAGCGTACCTGGGTTCAAGGAGTAGCTGTTCTTGCCTCGCGACCCTGAAAAGGTGGGATGAAGGTCGGTAGGATTGGGGAATATCCATTGGTCCATTAACCCTGAACCTTAAACCCCAAATCTTTAGATCCCTTCGATTGCCGGGCTGTTGAGTCAGGAGATGTCGACATCCGCCTCGGCTGTTCTGTGGAGTCCATCCGATGGTCAGACGACGGCGTGCAGCTCACTTGGAGGCCACCTGCGAAAATACAGCAACAGTTTCTTAGATGGGGACTATAAGGCAGCTCATAGATATGTAGTACCGAGACTTTTTTCATTATTTCTTTGCGGGGATATTACCTTCAAGAGCTTATGTTCAGATGCTTGTTGTGGCTCCTAAGTAACGGCACAATCAGCAGCATCCGTATCATGCTATCACCCAGCAGTAAGCAAAAGCGGACACCCGGGTAGCATCATGAGGGTTCAAGAGCTACTGAGGTCTTGCTAAGGAATTTGTTTTAAGTTACCATGTGGGGATCTATAGTAAGTCAAGTTCTTGAACAAGAGCCCAGTAGCACGCCGAAAATGTGATAGTACAGGGGTCCTGTTCGGAATCAGTAGGAGCCGTGTTCCTGCAATTGTCCCTATGTAACTATACTATAACGTGTAAACCCAAAAGGATATATATATATATATATACACATATACACTTGTATATATATATATATATATATATATATATATTCTGACCTGTAAGGCCCATGCAAAACATAGATTGCTAAGTTGTACTAATACTATTACTAATCCTCATACTAATATTGCAACTAATCTGAATACTAACATTTATACTAATAATGTTACTAGCTTTCATGCGGATGATTTCAAGGCTTGGGGTTCGGCTCAGGCATACATTGGCCGAGAAGTTGAATCATTCGGCAAATATAGGGCAAATATAGGGGCCTTATTAATTAGAATAGGGTTCTGGGCTCCTTTATAACATGCTTATAATGAGGACCCCTAGGAAACAGTATTGGTAATTCTTTAGGCTTCTATATTATGTTCTGCGCAACTGTGAGAAGTAACATGGACAGACTTCTGTCCGCCTGGAGGCAGGCTTAACTCAACATTGGATCGTTCATCCCTCTTATCTCTTATTCGGGGTACGCATCCCCTCCTGCAGCCCTGAACCCTTAACTCAGACTAGACATTCCTACAGCTACAAAGTTGTCAATTCTCAACTCCAGACTTTTGAGATATGGGGCTTGTTTGTTGTGTTCATGAGTAACCTCTCCCCCAAACAAGCACTGGAGTAGGGATCCTAAACGAGGCCCTTGAATGAAGCGGGTTCATGTTTCACCAAGTCGAAACCCGGGACACTGAATCCGAAACTCAACACTCAGAACCATAAACCCTAAACCTTCAATACAGAATCCGACGTCTGAACTGACATCATAGACTGTGAAATCTAAATCTTGTAATAAAAAAGAAGCCGAACCATTGCCAACACCATGCCTCAGGGTTCGTTATTGCATTTGTACTATCATGCATCCCAGCACTTCATTCTAATTGTTGAGGCCACTTTGTGGTCGAGCCCTTGACGGGACCCGTTAGAGGAACATCAAGGCCCCTGTGGATTGCCTAGGGACACTAAACCCTAAACCCTAAACCCCTAAACCCCTAAACCCCCTAAAACCCTAAACCCCTAAACCCTAAACCCTAAACCCCTAAAGCCTAAAACCCCTAAACCTCCTAAACCCTAAACCCCTAAACCCTAAACCCTAAAACCCTAAACCCCTTAAGCCTAAACCCCTATAAACCCTAAACCCTAAACCGTTACTTTGAAGCCGCCAAAGGTCGAGAGACAGCTCCTCCGAGGTGGACGAGGCCTTGATCCACCGAACCCTGAATTCCGAAACCTTTGTAAATCCCAAGAAGCCAGTGGGGTTTAGGGTTTAGGAGCTTAAGAGATCCGAAACCCTAAATTCCGAAACCTTTGTAAATCCCACAAGCCCTAGAAGCCCTTTGGTGGGGTTTCGGGTCGAGGAGCTTAAGAGATCCGAAAACCTTACAAATCCCACAAACCCTTACACTCTATGAGCTTTTAGACGTTAGGGTTTCGGAACCTCAGAGGTCCTATAGGATTTCGGGTCTAGGCTTTATGGTTTAGGGTTTAGATAGGGTCTAGGGTTTGAGGTTTAGGCTACAAACTCCAACATCCCTAGCTCTTCTTGAAGGCTCGCTTCGACAAGCCCCGCAGTAGCTCACCAGCAGAAGGGTGGGTGTAAACCCTAAACCTTAAACCCTAAACCCTAAACCTTAAACCCTAAACCCTAAATCCTAAACCCTAAACCCTAAACCCTATGCCCCTTTCCCGGGACCTCGGACTAGAGGGCGTACTATAGGGGCCTCAATAATTACCCATACTATTTTGCGGGTTCCGTATTTTTAATTGTAGTATAAAGGGCCCCGAAACCCTACTCTACATAATTAAGGCCCCTATATGAAGTACCGAAGTGACGTTGCTTTGGGCATTTTAGCTTCAGGCTTCTGGAATTTAAGTTTACTTTTTGGGGGTATTGGGGCTAAAGGTTTTCAAGGACATAGACGTATCCGGCACATGCGTTGGGATACAGGGGCACATGTCGTCGATGCAAGATTTTCGGAATCCTCTGCTTGGGATTGAAGTTTTGTTGTTCGCAAGTGTAGCCCTAAACCCAAAACCTGAACTCTAAACCCTAAACTCTTCTTGTCTGCCTCTGCAGAAAAGGAGTTAACACAAACAAAGCCTCAACCCCTAAACCCCAAACCTTAAGCCCCAAGACCCTCTCTAAGCCCTAAACCCTAAGCCCTTTCTCTTTATTAAGGCCCGTATCAGGCTAAGTACTTGGAGGATCAGGGAGTTAGGTTATAAGTACCTGAATTGAGGTTATAAGTAAGTATAAGTATGGCTACCTGAATTATAGCCCTAGTTACTAAATCCCATGATCCTCCAAGTACTTGAACTGTTTTCGCAGGTGCACTTCCATGCCGACCACGTCGTCGTCACGACCTCCTTGGGTGTTTTGAAGGAGACATCCTTGCTTAACTTGCCGAGAGTAATGTAGAAGCCTGGATAGTTGCCCATCTTATCAATGCCCTAGAGAGAACCTCTGAACCCCTCCACGCGTTTAAATGCGACCTGAGTCAACAAAAGATCCCCAAAGCCCCAGGCAGCTTTCCGTTGCCACAGGGGTCGGGCAATCGTACCCGGTGAAAGTTCCAATATTAAGCATGTTTTGACATACCCGAGAAACCTATCTAATAAGTATAGAGCCTAAACATTAATTTGTAACAGTATTTCCTGCTTACCCCTGTTTAACTTAGTTCAAGTGCAGCACATCCGCAAATGCTCTAATCAAATTGTTTCGGAAGTTGCTAAAGAATCGCAAATTATATTAGCAGTGTTGTTCCCTTTAACCCCCTAGTGACATTGTAGTATATAATTGTAGCATAACATAAACTCTAATCTGATACTAGCTATATCTAACTTCTGTATCATCTACTAGCCTAGGGGTCCATGCACAATGTACCTAAACCCAAAGTGTCCTCAGAACCTATATCGCAGAATGTAGGGTTTCCATATTAAGAACTGTTATTATGATTTAGGGAAGCATCTCCTATAACAGTACATAGGACCCTTTGGGAAATGGAGACTACTTTAAGGCCAAAGTACGGTAGAACCCCAAAAGTTTGAAACCCAACAGCTCAATCCTTAAGAGTAATGTATAGGGAATCCCAGCACTATTTGGCCTTAATCCGGTTTCCCAGCACATGGACCCTTAGGGATCGGAGGACTCGGTCGCCAGTGGTGGGCCCCTTCGCTTCGAGCCACCCCTGCCGGAACCGAAGAGGGCGGCCATCGCAGCTGGGATAATGATCCTTAGGGATCCAATTACTTAACTGGTAGGTTACTGGGGTATATACTATATGGTTGGTAACCTACTGCTTAGGCAACTGGAGCCCTAGGCGATTTTGAGGCTTTCCGGTTTAAGGCTTAGCGTTTATGGACTTGTTTAGGCTCTAAGGTTTTGGGGGTATGTGTTTACATACGGTTTAAGGATTAGGGCTTCCTGGGAACTGAGTGGCTGAGTGCGTAGACTGAACACGATTTCTTCGGGGGTTGTGCGTAATCCCGGAGTCCTTGGCAAAACCCAAACCCTAAATCAGGACCGCTGCTAGAAGCCCGGTCTCAACCATAGAACTCAGCAACGAAGAGCCCTAAGGCTCCATGTACCCATATAGTATATACATTGGCCTTAAAGTACCTATAGGGAACCCTTTGAGGCTTAAGTATATACTATATGGGCACATGGAGCCTTAGGGGAGTTCATCAGTGTTTCGGGCTTTGTGGCTTTCTAGCGTTAGGGCCTCATTTTTTGGGGGTTTTGCCCTTCCGGGCTGAAGCCCTAACCTTGTAGGTTTCTGATTCCGGGGTTTGCGGTTTAGGTTTTTAGGGTTTTAGGGTTTTAGGGTTTTAGGGTTTTAGGGTTTAGGGTTTTAGGGTTTAGGGTTTAGGGTTTTTAGTTTTTAGGGTTGAGGCTGAGCCGGCAGTAGTTAGAGACTGCTGAGGATCCCGGATAGCTCCAAAAAAGCAGCGAACGCCAACCTTACGCCCAATCAGAAGACAAGTGTATGCTCTGCCTGTAGACTTTTAGGGTTCCTTCTTATGGTTTCTATATATAGTTTTTTAAAAAGATAGGTCTTTTCGGCTACTGGTGGGGCCCTAGCCGCAAAGAACACCTAGGAGAGACTTGGCTTTGGCACCGTGGACAAGGCCAGGGTGCTGCTTTGGGAAAACTGGGAGTTTCCGAAAGTTAGGGGTACTTTATTTTTGGGTCCTTATAAAAGGGATCCTACTAATTAGGGTACTATATTAGGGTCCCCTATTTTCAGAAACTCCCAGCTTGCCAGAGGCGGTAGGTTTAGGTGACATCATAACTACTCACTTTCCGGGCTATCCATCTTATGTTCGGTGAGGAAGCTGAGCTTAGGATGTCATGAACCGTGCTGGGCTTTCACTCAGATGTTTCTTCAACTTGTGCACAGCTACTGAATGACGGACTGACTGACTAGAACTAACACAACGGTTCAAAGTCTCGGCGCTTCAGGCGCAGGGCTAAAAGATGCACGAGTTGGGGGAGTTTGGGTTTTAGGATATAATGGCTTGTCCCGAATCTGAACTGCCAGGAAGGACCCCAACATTGCTCTGGACACAAGGCCATAGATGTGTCTCTAATCCCCCAAACCCTGAACCCTAAACTCTCTAATCCGTGATTCCCCTTCATACACCCTGAATCCCCTATAAGCCCGAGTAAAGCCGCGAAATTCCTAAACCTTAACAAACCTGCTAAACTCATATGAGGTGGGCCGGACCATGCCTGCATGCGAAAGCCCCCGCTGCATCGCTTAAGAAACATCCTAAAACCCCCTTAGCCCTAAATGTCCTTGACATCTTAAAACCCTGGGCCTCTAAACTCTTAGCCCTAAATGAAATGTCCTTGAAAACCTAAAACCCTGAGCCTCTAAACTCTTAGCCCTAAATGTCCTTGAAATCCTAAAACCCTGAACCTCTAAACTCTAGACCCTAAACTCTCTAGCCTAAGCCCTAAACCCCAAAATACTCAACCCTAAACCTCTAAACCCTAAACCCCAAAGAGAATAGCGGACACTAATATAGTACCATAAAGAGTAGGATCCTTGTTCTATATAAGGACCCCAAATTAGGTACCCCCAAACCCCAAAGAGAGGTCTTGCTGCTCTATGACTCTATGAGCCACCCTAAACACTGAACCCCGAAATACTCAACCCTAAACCTCTAAACCACCAAAATCCCAAACACCTAAGCCCTAAACCCTAAACACCCCTAAACCCTAAAGCCCACCAAAGCGAGGTCTTGCTGCTCTACGAGCAGCCTTGGTGGTGCGATCTTTGGGCGGCCCTGAGATTCCTCTGGCCAAAGGACGTGGCGCAGAGCGAGGCCACGAAAAAGTAAGGGTCGAGAGTTTGGGTGTTTTTTGGGTTTAGGGGTTTGGGCTGATGGTTTAGGGTGTTTTCGGGTTCAAAGTTTAGGGCTGAGCTTTTAGGGTGTTTTCGGGTTTAGGGTTTAGGGCTGAGAGTTTAGGGTTTAGGGTTGAGAGTTTAGGATTTCAGGCTATAGGGTGTAGGATTGAGAGTTCAGGGTTTGGGGGTTTGAGAATTTAGGGGTGCGAGATTGAGGTTCAGGGGTTTTGGGGTGCAGGGGTTGAGGGTTGTGGTCTTGTGGTTCATATCGTCTAACACATGCTTTCTGCCGGTACTTCTGACAGGTTTTCCTGATGCCACGGGTGTTGCATTCTAATGGATGTTACATGTCTCCCTTCTTCCTGCTGAGATGATCGAGCATCCTCTTGTCCCTAAACACGAAGCTTCTGAAGCCGCCCGCCGATGCCCTACGATCCGCGTCTCCCATAGTTGGGTTCTGTGCACCCCCAAGAGGAAGGCATCCAGAAGCCAGGTCGCAGGATCCGCTGTAATTTCCAGTAATTTCCTGTATGATGATGATGATGTTAAGGCACCATACATAAGGAAAGCAATAATCCTGAAAAATGCCATGAAAGCGCTTTGCTTCTTGACGTCCATGCAGGATCCATCTTGGATACGCCGAATCTACGGCTGTACCGGCGCCTGTGACAACGCCGGGCTGGAGTTCCTTTTTGGCAGTAAAATCAGCTTTTCAACTTTTGGGGCTCTTAATAACATAGTCGATTCTGAAAGTTTCAACTTTTATTTCTTTGGGTTTTGGGCCAGTGAGGTTCTGGCTTGCTGGCTCTGGAGCCACAGACATGGAGGCACTGGGGCACCGGGGGCGACTATGGGACTTAAGAGGTGTGAGTAGTGTTTACGGTGTATTCTGACCTTGAAAGCCTAAACCCTACATTCGGGGTCCTCGTTCTAGTTACCCTAAGGAAGGGTCCATGTAAACATATAGTATATACTTTGGCCTTCAAGTAGTTCCTGTATATGTACTTGGGGCCAAAGTGTATCAACTTGGGTACATGGACTCTTAGAGTTATAATAGAGCACCAGGGCCGAATGTAGGATCTTCAGCACTGGTTTAGGGTCCTGGGTTTCTTGTAACAGTAGAGGTAAGTTATATGTGAGGCTAAGTCCATGGATAACGGGGGTTACACTTTCGTGCGACATCTTCCGGATTCAGCAGGAAATCCAAAAAGAACCTTTTCATGCAGCTACAGCCCTGTTTAGGGTTTAGGAATAAACCTAACTCCCTCCCTGATTACCGCGCGAAGACTTGGAGAGGACGAACTACGAGCCCCAAAAGCCACAAATGCCCTGCAAACCGCAAGCGCCGAACCCTACGCGTTTTGAGAAAGCTGGGGAAGGGTCCAAATCCGCAACCCCCAAAGACCATGCAGAGCCTAAAGCTTAAAGCTCACAAACCCTCGTGCAGGAGAGGCCTAAACCCCCAAACCCTTCAACCCTAATCCGTAAGCCCTAAACGCTAAGGCCAAACCCTCAAACCCTAAAGCCCATTTGGGCAGGCCAAACTAGAGACTAGTGCAGTTGCAAAAAGGCCCTCAAAAAAGAACTAAAGCCCTCAAACCCTAAAGCCCTTAAACCTTAAACCCCTAAGCCCTGAAGTTAAGCCCTAACATAGGCTCCACCTGGTAAGGTATTCCCTCTGATAATGCAGTGGGAAAAGGGCCCGCAAAAAAAAAAAAAACTGAAACCTTAAAGCCCTTAAACCCTAAACCCCTAAACCCTTTCATTTTTAAACGTGTCCCAACACACTTCAATCAATAAACCCCGAAGATAAGTCCTGGCTTCAAAAAGCAAAAAGCCATGAAACAACGAGGCATGCAGCGACCAAGAGGTCCAGAAGAGCCTCCAAAGGCTGCAGCTTGGGCAAGATGGAAGCTGGGGTTTAGAGTTTGGGGTTTAAGGTTCAGGAGTTTGGGGGGGTTGGGGGTTTAGAGTTTGGGCTTTTGGGGGTTTGGGGTTCAGGGGTTTGGGGTTTACGGGTTTGGGGATTGAGGGAACAGGGGTTGATAGGGTTTAACTATTTTTGCACTTTTTGGGGACCGGTTGTTGAAGAAGAGAGTTAGGAGTTTGGTATTCAAGGTTTCGGGTTGAATAGTAATCGAACCGGGACTTCTTGAAAGGGAGCCCTTAGAGTCAAAAGAAGGTGTACTATAAGACTGTAAGGGTTCTCCGTTTAAGGTTTAGGGTTAGCTTCAATATTAGACTTGCATTTCGGCGCATGTTTTACTGTAGTTGATTCCAGGAACCCTGTAAGCAGTACTTTTTAGTTGGTAGTCTGGAGACATGGGTTTTAGTATGCAAGATGATGGGGTGTGGGGTTTAGGGTATGGGTGTGCGAGCCATTAAGACCTAAACCCCAAACCCTAAACTGCCACCGTATGCCATAAACCGTAAGCAGACCTCAGGCCCTAAGGCACTCATAGAACCCGCCTTCTGTCGAGCTCTCCAAGGCACCCTTCGTTGTTGATGGCTAGGAAGTAGACCCTAGACCCTAAATTGTACCGTAGGTATCGAATTTGGATAATTTCTAGTTTCCCTTGTTGTTTAAGATAGAGCCCTTAGTATAAACACTCTTGGGCACCAGGAACTGCTGAAATGGACATCTGGTAATTGAACGTTAAATGGCTCCCTAAACTCTAAACGCTGTTAGCTCTCAACCCTAAACCCCAAACCCTCAACCCTGAACCTCAGACCCTAAATCCTAAACCCCAAACTCTAAACCCTAGACCTTAGACCCTTTTAAGCCTTAAACCCCAAACCCAAAACCCAGACCATAAACCCCTGAACCCTCAGCCCTAAACCCTTAACCCTTCACCCCTATAGAGAACCTTAAGGAATCCTAAACCCTTGAAGGAAACCCCTCAAAGAAACCCCTAAACCCCAAGCCCCAAACCCAGGCTACAGCGCTGCTCTGGGGCCAGCGAAACCCTTCCTGAGCCCTATGGGCTTCACCGCTCTTCCTGGGGCCGCTTGGCGCTTGACTGCTACTATTGCTTTTCGTATTACTACGGTTGATGATACAAATCCTGCAGTACCTTAAGAACCCTAGACTCGGGAATTATGGTATGTTCCTTGTTATGGGTAATGCAGGATTTATATCATCAACCGTAGACCCTAAACCCTAACCCCTAAACCCTAAAACCCTATCTGGATCCCCTGAAGGAGCCCCTTAAAGTTCTCTTATGGATCCCTTAAATTCTTGGAGGATCATGGGACTTAGTAACTGGGGTTATAAGTAAGGTAACCATACTTACAACCACAAGTAGGGTACTTTTACCTCAACCGTAGTATAGTCCCTATATAATCCCTATATGACCCAAAAAATTAACCTTTAGCTCCCCATGATACCCGACAAGTAGGTATGGATCCCTTTAGCATCATCAACCGTATGAATGTTTCTGGAGCTCCCGGCCCGAACCTGCCCCAGCAACGCGGACACCGCGTACGAAAAGCAATTTTAATATCGGGGCCTTAATGATCAGAATAGGGTTCCTTTCAAGGGGTTCCGGGGTTCCTTTAAAGGGGTCTATAAGGGCTACTACAAGAGCTATTATTATAAGGATTTGGAAAAAGTGCCATAAAAATTGGAGTAGGGTTTTTGGGGCCCATTATACTATAAGTATAATAAGGAACCCCCAAAAAATAGTATAGGCAATCATGAAGGCCCCTATATTACACGCCCTAAACCCTGACCCAAAGGGTCCAAAGGATCCAATGGGGGCTGTTCTAAATTATGGTCCCTTTTGGGGTACCTTTTATAAGAAGGACTATACTACTATAGGGCCCAAAAAGGGACCATAATTTAGAACAGCCCCCAAATGACAAGGTACTTGGGTTTAAGGATCCTGCTATTCAGGCTGCGGCTCAGAGTTCTGGGTTTTACAGGGGCTTTAATAATAATTACCTGTACTATTTCGGGGGTTCCGAATAAGTGTAGAATAAACACCAAAACCCTATTTAAATCATAATATAAGGCCCCTGTGTTACAAAAAGCCGTCTACACGCCCTAAACCCTGATAAACCCGCACTCCAGCCTAGTATACCGCGAAACCTTCCAGCCCAACATGGACAACTGGAACAGGCACCGATCCCAACTTCCGTGGCTCCTACTCTTTCGTAGCCGTCGGCGGCAGCGGGGCAGACATCGATGAGCTTGCAAGCCCCGAAGGAGCCACTGCTAAACCCCCAAACCCTAAACCACTAAACCCCGAAACCCCTAAACTGGCATTAGAATGGCTCCGAGGCTCGATGATATGTGTTTGTTTACACGGTCTTGAAACTTTTGGCGTCCCTTTAGAAGAGTCCTTTCCTGAAGGATCGTATTAGTTGAGGCGTCCCTTTTAGGGTTTCTTGTTCCCTGAAACTTGCATCTGAGGGTTTAGCACTTGACATAAAGGGCCTTAGGGGTCTGGAAACTACACTCGGGTCTGTTTTAGAAGCATGTCTAGGATCTTAGAAAAAAAAATATATATATATATATATATATATATATTGGCTGAGTAGTGGTAGTTTTAATATAAGCATGCTGTGATCTATTCCCAAGCCATATTAGAATCATAGGGCCTTTTTGCTCGAGAGCTCACGGTGTAGCGTTTAAGCGGTTTAGGGTTTAGGGTTTAGGGTTTAGTGTTTAGGGTTTAGGGTTTAGGGTTTAGAGTTTAGGGTTTAGGGTTTAGGGTTTAGAGTTGAAGTCCCGCACTAATCCAGGAATCCAGGACATTTTATGCGCTGATGAGTTGTAGAATTTGCGTGGCAAGTTGCACGCAAGATCAGGTACTGAGCTTCAATCAAGGTGGCCGTCTTGCTGCCCTTCTTTGCTCGAGCCCGTTCGAGCCATGTTCAGGCACAGTCTGTATTAGTCACCGGTAACAAAGGTGAGATATAAGCTGAAGCTGTGAGGCTGGAAGCTCGATGCAGTGTTGCTGTTGATAAGTAAGAATGTGCTCCGCGCGATGCTGCAGCCTCTGCTGCGCCATTCTTGCCGTTCTGGTCGCTGCTCTGGTGATGAAGTTCCAGCAAATGAAGCCGAGGATTCTTCAGTACCATTGCCCGGCACACCTGTCCGAATGCCCACTTTTCAGCAGGACTGGCTTTGAAGGAGAGCTCGTGCTGATAATCAATAGCATGGACAACTTCCGGAAAGACAAGGCGGATGCCAATTGGTCTACGGCCATAGAGTCCCTTCATAAGCAACTGGGCTCTTGTTCATGGATTTCAAAAAAGTTACCATGATAAGTTATAAGGAGACCATATTCAGTTACCATAATTAAGATATATGGAGACCAGATTACTTACTATAGATCCCTCTTATGGTAACTTAAGGTAAATTTCTTTGACAAGAACCCAGGCAAGGGAGGGAACCCGTGATGCTCGTGCTCGGACCCAACACGCTCGCCGAGGATGCTGCGGAATTTCGGCTCCTGGCAAAGGCATCGGCTAAGCTTTACCTAGTCGAAGCGAATGAGCGCTTAAATGGCAACCTCACTGCCAATCTGCTTCAATATGGGCATCCGCGACAGAATTTTGAGATCATCAATGCTGCTATGACAGATCAGCCATCAGGCAACTTGACTTTCTACCTCGTGGATGATGGAAACTGGGCTTTGGAGTACCATAGGTTACTTTTTGGGGACCTGTCACTTAAGCGACCCTTCTGTTACTTAAAGGGAACCAATTATGAATCTAAGTCTATACCTTTTTTCCCAGGTTACTTCAAAGCCCAGGAAAGCAGACGGAGTCGAGCTTGGAGAACTACTTTGGCTCCAGCGTGGAAGTCTCAGTGAGACCCTGGGTTCTGGAATAGCATACTTCATATTTGTTGAGCTGTTTTTTTAAAGGAGCCATACTTCATTGCTTTTTTAAGTTTTTTTAGAGAACCGTAATGAAATAGAAGTGTATAAATTCAGATCTTTTTCCCCTGGTTGCTTCAAAGCCGAGGATCCTTGACACCCAAAAACCTTCTTGCAGAGCTCGGCAACCCAACGGTGGATATCCTCCACACGGACCTTGAGGGCTACGACCTTCGAATACTGTGGGAGTTCTTTCATGAGGAGTCTTTTGCCCCTGAGATCGTGAAGTTTGAGTGGCTTTTCGCGGCCCAGCATAAGGGACCGGGGCCTTATGAAATGATGCCCATGCTAAACATGCTGTCGTCAAGAGGTTACGACCTGCATCAAGATGCTTATGACATGATTGCCATCCGGCGAGACCTACTTTTCGGGGAGGCTAGCTGAGTGCTGGCTTCTCAACCGCAGACGTGGATGTTCAGTCGCTCTTGCCTCCGTTGCGAACCGCATCTTCTGGATTCCCCGAAGCGGAGAGAAAAAGCCTTTTTGCGGACGTGCGCAGATGCCCATTCCAAGCTTCAATCTTCGAGTGTTCATTGGTTTAGATACCGTTTAGATGTGGTACCCTAAATAGTAGGATCCCTATTATAAGGACCCCAAAATACGGTACTCCTAATTTTCGGAAACTCCCATATTGCAACTAATTGAACAAGGTCTTCGGCTTCCCGACCGCGGGTCACCCCTGATGAGTGTGTGCAGGCCGTGTTGGCCCTTTCCCGCGGGGCAGGGAGTAGTGCTCACTTGTCTAAGCAGTCAGCCTGTCACGATACTTGCACAAAGGAGCAACAACTCGCTTCGTCAGCATCTTTGAATGCCAGACGCAGAATTCATGTGTCATATTCGTTGCCGTGGTCGTTATGGTAAATATCTCATCCGCCAGGGTAGATCAACACGGAGCACCCGAGAACCTGGTGCCCCACGCAGCCCGGCAGCCTGAACGGCCTGAACCTAGAGACTCCAATATCCCTTGATTACGGAATATTCTTTAAATCATATTAGGGATCCTATTCTAGTTGAAGGAATATTCCTTACTTAAGTAAGGGTTATTGGAGTCTCGGGAAACCTTATACAGTCTAAGTCCTTAAACCTGACACCCTGAAGCCCCCCAACGCTGAATCATATCCCCTTAATTACTTACCGTTGGGTAGTAGGGAATGGAAGAATGGTAGGTAGTAATAGTGGTTATAATTCTACCCCCATTCCTCCATTCCCATTCCCTACTAACCAAAGGTAAGGTAAACCCCTTAACCCTCAAACCCCACAACCTCAAACCCAAAGCCCTGAGCGCTAAGCCCAGACGCGCAGGAAGTCGCATGCAGCTCTCCTTCGCCGGTGAACATACCCACCGCAGGCAGGGCAGTGAACATTGAAGTTGAAAGGGTTGATTGAAGCTTCACCAACATCCCCCAACTACCCTCTACTCTACCCGAAGCACCCACTATGAGGGACCATACTTGGAGGTACATGGGTAGCTATAAGTAGGGTTATAAGTAGGGTAACTATATAGTATAACCCATTTTAGGGGACTTATATCCCCACTTATAACTACCCACGAACCTCCAAGTAAGGGCTCTATCAAAGGGTACTTGGCGGGTCCTGGCAGGGTTTAGGGTTTGATTCGGATTTTCTCCGGGAGAACCGAATTTTTACTTTACCCCTTGAGTAAGGAATACGCCTCCACCATGCCACATTTTGCAAGACCCTTCACAATTTAAGGGGTAATGTAGGGGCTTAAATAATGACCAATTATTTTGGGGATTCCTTCTTATAACTATAGCATAATGAACCCCCAAAGCTTATTTTCATTTAACTATTGAGTTAATTATTGAGGCCCCTACGGTATGTTGCCTGATTCAGGGGGGATTACATAGGTAAGAACGAACCCTACATCGGGCATTTTTGGAAGGGGAGATCGCTAGTTAAAAAGTTGAAGGATACTGCTATTCAGGCTGGGACAGGGTTTTGGGGTTCAGGGCTTTGGATTTAGGGTTTAGAGTTGTTTAGGGTTTAGGGTTTAGATATGTTTCTGGTCACCCCCTATTTCGTTTTGTGGGAATTCCTATGTACGCAAACGCCAAGATTTGAAGTCCCAAGCTGGGTAGCTTACGTCTGAATCCCGCCGAGAGCTTGGTGGAAATCCCTAAGCCCTAAACCTGATCTAGATCCATAAGCTTGACGCGAGGTACATACAAACTTCAGAGTGCAGCAAACAGGAGACCTATGTACACCATAAGCCTAACCTGACTATCGATCTATCTAGATGTTTTTTACCAACCCTAAACCCTCTGCCCGGAACCCTAATCTGAATAAGAGCTAAATGATGGAAAACGAGCCCGAAACTTTGTCTAAGCTGCAAAACAAAGGCAACAAGGAAAGCCAGCCAAAGAGAAGAGCAGCGAAGTATCATGAAGCCTTGAACCCTAAATTCAGTTCCCGTCATGACACCTTCAACATAACCCTAAGATCAACGAGACTGTCTAGTGCTTAGTAGAGAATGGGGGAATGGGTCTCTAATGCAGTCCCTATATAATTCCCATTTATAGTCTCCATAATCCATTCCCCCATTCCCTACTAAGAGCCAGACAGAAGAGGTACTACTCCACGGTCCATGGGGCTTGGTGGAGTGGCATCCGTGCCGCCGAAGTTCTTGCCGAGGGAGTTGGCTGAGACCAGGCCCGAAAATCCAGGCCCGACAACTATGTTGGGTGTTCCTTAAAGGGGTCTATAAGGGATCTATAGTAGGGTTCTATATCAGGGTCTTAAATAATTACCAACACTATTTTTGGGGGTTCTTTATTATAAGTATGTATGATGGCCCCAAAGCCATATTTAAAATTAATAAGGCCCCTATATTAGTTACCAGGGCTCTAATTAGCAGGTTGCATTACGGCATTATACGGGCTTTATATGTACGAGTCTTCTAGGAGTAGGCCCCGATCAGTTGCTTATCAGGGCTCTAAGAGGCTTTGCAACGGCTCCAACAATGGCTTTAGTTATGCATGAGTTTTAGGATCTGCGTGAGTAGTTTGAGGCTTAATATAGGGGCCTTGATAGTTAGAATAGGGTTTTGGGGCCCAATATACTATGTCTATAACAAGGAACCCCAAACCGCTTGAGGGGTTTAGGGTTCCTTGCGTGTGCAGAAGGCTTTAGAGGAGCCCAGAGCCCTTCAAACCCTAAACCCCTAAACCCTTAAACCCTTAAACCCTAAACCCTAAACCCCTAAACCCCTAACCCCTAAACCCTAAGCCGGAAACTCCGCCCTGAAGCCTTCCCGGGAGGCTTTCTTCAGCGACGTCAGCCGCCATGAAGAAGCGTCGAACGATGCACCGCGGACTGCAGGAAGCAGGCCCCGATAACTGCTTCTTGTTTTTTTGCTTCTGGCCCAGATATGTACCATGAGGATGCATCTCTATACCTATGTGTGTATATATATATATATATATATGCATATGTTATGTATACACATATTGGTTTATAGGCTCATGCCCATTTTCAGGTTCGGGGTTTAGGAATTTGCGAAGGCTGAAACAGCTTTGTTTCCCTGACGCAATCGGCAAGGCCCCCTACACCGCACTGAGTTCAGAGAGAAGCCTGAGGTAGAGAAACTCTTCCAAGAAAGTCTTTATTTGAGCATACCCTCTCTCTATAATATACGTGTATATATATATAGATATATATATATATAGGTCTATAGGTATGTTCTCGGAAATATACATACATATATATATATATATATATATGTATATAAACACCCCCCCCCCCAAAAAAAAAAAAAAATACTTGACTGGTATCTGTCACTTCTTTCACCGGAGGCCCGATGCAATACTTTCGGCCACGGCAGCGACATGGGCACAAGGCCCTGTTCCCCTGTTTGGGATTTTGGGTTTAGGGCTCAGGGGGTTCAGGGGTTTAGGGTTTAAGGTTCAGGGGGTTCAGGGGTTTAGGGGTTTAGGGTTTAGAGTTCAGGCAGTTCAGGGGTTTAAGTTTCTGGGTTCATTTTGGGCCAGTGGTCTTTAGGACTCTGGGATGCGGGTGTCGGTGTACGAGCTTTACTTTTGGATTCGAGGGCTACGGCGTCTACGGAGCCCCCCCCAAAACTCAAACTCAACACATTGTAGTCGTAAGCCGCACGATCACATCTCCACCTGTGGAGACAGTACCATTGTCATTGTAATTGACTTGCTCATCACGATTAGTTTTTGCTATTACTAGTCGCTGTCGGCGTCGTTGTTTTTTGTTCCTGGATATTTTGCGATATCATCTCAGTCTTGTTCACTAGGTATTGGGCGTAAAAACTTGCTTCACATTATCCTTGTTCACTGCAATTTCATGCCTATGCATATTGCAACGCATATACGTATATGCGATGGCTTTGTTCCAGATTTCGGCTGTTTTAGTAGCTCCTGCTGCCGCAGGTGCGCCCGGCAACGCTCATCAGCGAGGGCTTGAAGGTCACTTGCTGCAAGGTTCGACACTGGAGGGTTTCGGGATGTTTACGGTGTAGGGTAGGGTAGGTTTGGGTACAGTATAGGGTTTAGGTGAGGGTTTGGGTTTAAGGGTTTAGGGTAGGGTAGGGATTTGGGTTCTAAGTTTAGGGAGTAATTAAGTTTCGAAGAATTTCAAGCCATGTGCTGTCTCTTCGGCCCGGTTTGGCTTCGGGTTTGCGGCATTCGGGGTTATTTATGGGAGTATTAGGGTATTTAGGGAAATTGTAGCAGTAAAGCAGAACTACGGTAATTAGGGTTTAGGGCTTCGAGTTGGGGTCAGCCAACGTCTGAAAAAGCTGTCTTCAAACTGCATTTGGATGCGTTTGGGGGGTTACGGATTTAGGATTTGAGCTTCTAAGGGTCCAGCAGTTAGGCGCGTTCAGGGTTTAGGCCACTTTGCGCCCGTTTGAAGTTTAAACCCTAAACCCTAAACCCTTTTCTTTCCTAAGCCAGAGCCACTGGGCCGAAACTGCATCACAAATCCTACACCTGGAACCTTACCTTAACCCTGAATAACCTACCTTTTAGGGCTCCTTATTGTGATTTTCTTATAGACGTCCTCAAAAAGGTAGGTTCTTCCTGGTTAAGGTATGAACCTTGGACCTCAAACAGTAACTCCTAATCCTGAAAACTGCAGCACAGAAATCCTCCCAGTTCTTTGGATCCGAATTCCCGAAATCAACGCCACAAGCCTTAGCTCTGCGCTTTGAGCCCATCGATCCGAATTCTGAACGATAAGCCCGTTTCCTTCACCCCATAAAGCCTACAGTCTTAAAGCCGGATCCCAACAGTCAATACGTGAGCATAAGTGTAAGGGCCTCTGCAAAGGGGACTCTAACGAACCTTGATGTCATTTGCTTGGTTCCTCCTAGCCCTACCGCCTGACCCCTAAACCCTAAACCCTAAACCCAACCCTAAACTAGGTTGGCCCCTTAAAGCCTCTGAAAAATATTCGTAGATAGGGTCCTACTAAGCCCAATAAGGGAAGATATAAAATGTCCCAAAGGCCTACCTAAACCCTGAACCCAACCCTGAGTCCTAAGATTTCCCGAGACCTCAACACCCGAGAAGCGCAAAACCCAACGACCGCCTCGGCTTCAGCACCGAATCGAGGCTCGATCGGATTCCAAGAGCACTTCGTCGAACCTGCCGCCGCAGCCACTTCAAGGGCTTCGGGTTTGAGAGCAAAACCCCAGGGTTTAGGGTTTACGGGCATGAGAGTTCCGATATGGTCCCCTTGTAAGTAGGTCTCTTGAAGATCCCATTTTTATATGAGGATCCTAAGACTACAGTGCTGAGTTCTGACGTCAACGAGATCTTGTTTTGCTGAGCTAAACAAATTAGACCTCTAAACCTGACACCCTACAAGCCCGAACACCGTGGCCCCGGCATTCTGGCTGTCTAGATGCCTATACCCTGAGTCTAAACTTTACTGTAATGTAGTGCTGCGAATGGATGATCGAAGTAACGCCCCTAAAGCCCCCTACAGAATCTTGTGCAACAAGATACCCTAAACCCAAAACCCTAAACCCTAAACCCCTAAACCCCAAACCCTAAACCCTGCAAAAAGATACACCAGAGCAAGGCCCTCATATTTCCGCTCTGGCTCTCCTCATCGCAGAGCGGCTACGCCGCGCTTGCGATTAGGTCCAAATGGCGCCTGGAAGCGAAGAGAAAAGGAGTGAGATCAGGGCTGTATTCGGAGGGCAACATGCTGTGCCTGCTGTGTTCGTGAATGCGTTCGTTCAGTGCATTATTCTATGGGTCATATAAGGTTGTATGGTATCCAGTTTGTGGCTTGGAGTTTAGGAAAGTTTAGGGCTTTATGTTGAAGCTTCGCGGTTGCTATGAGGTCTGGTTCATCCGCAATGATGACACTTTAGGGTAGGCATCCCCGTACATGACAGTTCCCATAAGAGCTTCATCTACACCAAAACCCTATTCTATAGATGAAGGCCCCTAGCCTGTATGACATCAGCTTTGCTTTATCGGTTTTGAAGAAATGCCCGACTCGGCATAGTTTGCGGGCAGTTGAAATATACCTTGGGTATGGCATGGCTCTTGGAAAAACTGGGAGAAGTCTCGTCCTCCTCTCCTTGTTCTGTATTCGTCGAATGTGTCTGGCACAATGGTGGTGTCATTGGTATCACTACCACTCTTGTGTTCAGTCTTATAGCTGAGTATGTTCGACTGGCTTTTCCTGCTTGTTGCATATAACTTTTTTAGACGGCGAGGTCTCGGCGAGGCCCTGTACTTGGAGGTTCATGGGTAGGTATGAGTAGGGTTATAAGTAGGGTAACTATGATTATAACCCATATGAGGGGACATATAACCCACTTATAACTAGCCATGAACCTCCAAGCAGGCCTACACCCCTCTACGCTTAGAGATTTGTAACTAACCTGGTAGGCTTCCGCCTCTTCCTCATGCCCATCGATGCCTGGAAGACCACGAAGCAGGTACCCTTGATGGTGTTTCGGGCTTTTAGGGCTCAGGGCGTTTAGGGCGCTTATCAGGATCGCAGGGCTTGTTTATTGCTCAGGGTGTTGAGGCTTTTGGGTTAAGGGCCTCAATTAGGGCCCAGGGCTTTCGCAGTTCTGCGCTCCGGATCTGGGGCTTCATTGAAAAAATCACAGGCTCTCGGTTGGGATGCAGAGTTTAATCTCGTTGCCAAGCTGCTTCAGGCCATCCATGTCCCCATGACTACGCGGCCACTGCTATTGTCATCGTCAACACCATGCTAACATCCTCTCGAGAGATTCACTTGCTCCGTGTATATGTATTATACATATACATATGTATACATATGTATAAACATACATATAAACACATAAACATATAGTGAATACATACGTATGTTTGTATATGCATACATACAGTTTCGTGAGTGTTTTCATCATCTGCATAACCACACCAGCTCTGATAGGTTAGCAAAATTGTAAGCCAGGGAGCTCACCGATGAGGTCTGAAGTTAAATTTGGGGGTGGTCAAATGAATGAGGGAAAGCCCGAAGCAAATTCGAGGTGGAAGGCAAGGACGGCTTGAACAAGCTCATCGAGAAGACGAAGAAGTGCCGGCGCTGAGTCGGTGCTTAATGTAGGAACCTGATTAGGAAACCTTGGGCCTTTATTTGGGTTCTTTATACGAATCCTACTAATTTGGGCTTATAGGCCCAGG